TGTAAAAAAAAAAAAAAAAAAAAGTTTTAGTCTGTTTATTTTTTTCAAGATGCTACAATGTATTTTAATCATGTTTATTCTAGAAGCAAGAGAAGTAACTGCTTAGACAAAAGGAAACATTACTGGTAACACACATGCAAGGTGATCCAGATCCTTATTCTCTGACTTTGAGCTTTAAACTGAAACATTCATTTCTGCCATAATGTACAAGAAACTCAACTCTGCAAAACAGAGATCACATTTCGTTGCCTTCAAAGACCTTGTCTCCATGCAATTAAAAATGAGATGGGCTCAAATCCTTGAGAAAAACATTCCCACTTAGAGCACGACCCTTCATCAGAAGTCTTGACAACCAAGTCATCCTCAGCTGCAGGAGCGCTGGCTGTGCCATAAACCTAGGTCCATTTCAACCTCACACTAACCCTGGAGCCATCTGAGATGGACATCCTCCATCACCACCAAGTGAGGCTGGGAAGGAGGTAGGGCCAATAGGAAAGGCACTGAATTAGAAACAGTTCCCAAATTTGACTGAAAGTTCTGCCCTGAATGGTGACACTATAAGCAACCATCACTGACTACAGCCTCAGGATTCAGGAACAGGCAACTAAGCATGCCCTGATAGAAATGTAATCAGCTCAGGCCCTGATTAACATGAGAGACAGTAAGCCCAAGATGTTCCTGTCCTGTGGACTCTGCTAGGAACTCATCCTCAACGGAAAAAACACACAGGACATCTCCCTCCAAGATAAAGCTTCAATACAATTACTGACACTTATATTATTTATTACACTTCAATGCTACCACATTAATGATTTGTGTTCCCAGTCTGTCAGGGGAACAGTAAGGCAGTCACTGCAGTGGAGATTCAGCATCAGGGACTACAAGGCTCTTAAGGCAAAACTCTGACTTCTTTGCTTTTGCCAACTTAATACTCTCCCATAGTCATGTCACAAAAATGCAAGGAACCCATAAAACAATATGAAAGAAAACACTGTAGTTTCCTTTTTCCTAAGAAACTTGGGCATCAAATTTTTAATGGTCTCAAGAACATAAATTTGAGAAGTGGGGTAGGGTGCCAATACTCCATGCTACACAAGGCAGAAGAGATTCACTGAAAACACCAACCCCAGCACTACCACAGCATGCAGGCTGCGTAGGGTGGTGCAGGAGAGTCTCTCCAGAGCACACAGTGCCCAGCTTCTTTCCTCAACCCCTCTACCCTCTGTTCGAAGACTTTGCAACAGTCAGACTATGACACAGACATATGTGAATTGTCCCCTGGGTGACTTGCATGCTGAAAGCTGATCGTATGGTTCAACTGCAAGTTCCAGCTCATTTTGACTACTGCCTATGGATGGTCCTGGTTATTTTATTAAAAATCTCATAGATATCAAAAATAACTTGTATACCTGTGATGCACTCACATAATTACTTCCATAAATATCAATGAAACCCTGCCTTCTCACTGTCGCACAGATAGTGCTGCTCCCACATCACCACTAGGTTGAAAGGCACAGGAGGGAGACGCGCACTGAATGCCCCACTGCACCAGCTAACACAGAACTCTTCCTTGGTTTCTGACAGGCACTAAGGAGCACTAGTGAAAGAAATCTCTGAGGGCCATTTTTAAGTCAAAAATACTTGTCCATCTTTTCTTAACTGAGAGTCACCCGTGATTTCCACTCTTAACATCCTCAGTTCACCCATTTTCCCACAACAGTGGTGTCAGCCCCTTCTGCAACATCTGTCTCTTTCCCTTGCAAGCTACAAAAAAGAATATCAGAAGGTGCTGTCGAGCACATTTATATGAATCTAGCAGCTTCCTGGAATTAGTCATTGGAAAGTGGTGAAGAGTATCTTGTAAAATATTTATTTTGGTTGCAGAGGCAGACCTACAACAGGCATCTGTTTTAAAATGACTTAAAAGAAAAAACAGTTAAAACCACATCAACTTAGATTCTGAGGATGAAACGCAGTTCTTAAAAGACTTTCTGTATTGAAGCATAATTTAAAGGTTAAAGAAACTCCACAGACAAGGTTTGGTTTTTAACTTTAAAAATGCAAGATGTGCAAAGTACACAAACACTGTTATTTACAGAGACCCAGGTACATGAGTAACCACTTTCCCAGACCCAAAGGCTCACCTTCTACTTCTTCTTCATCACACACATGCTTAAGGAAGGAAGCCCCTCTGTCCAGGACAGCTTCATCCTCCATCCTATAGTAATAAAAAAGAAAAAAAGAATGCTCAGACTTCTCCTGGAGGGAGCCACCTGGTGCAGCCCAGCTCCTGGGCAGGTTAACCTGCAGGCTGCTGTTCATGCTGGCAGGGCACAGTCACTCTTCCTTGGGTGGCTGCTATTCCTCACACAGCTCTCTCCGGGTGCTCCAGAATATGCCGGTCCCACATAGCTTCAGCACTGCCCTGGAGCGGGCACCCCCACGGGCAGGTAAGAGCAAACAATTCCGATCCTGTAGGCTGGATTCTGGGGAGTGGGGGGTTCTCCCGCTTGGAGTTTGCAGAAAAAAGGATGAAACCAAAAAGAAAAAAAAAATACCAAGAGAGGAAGTTTGGTGTGGCTGGAGTGCTCGTGATGATCGTTTGTAGAAATCCAGTTTTCAGTGCTTAGCTCTTTAAACACCCCACTGCACAAAACACACACACACACACACACACACACACACACACACACCCCACCCACAGACACAGAGCGACAGGCAGTCAGGCTCACACACAGTGGGAGCCTAGCTTCCAGCTTCCTCTAATACTAGCACAGCCCAGTATTCTCTGTTGAGTGGCAAGCTTGGAGTCACATGCTGGCCTTACGGAAACCTGACATCTGAGGGTTACCCAGCTCCCAGCTTCAGGGACAGGCACATGTACACGCCACCCATTCATTTATCTTCATGTTCTCTTCCCATGTGTCTCTCTAGGTATATCTGCCCTGTTAACTCTTCCCTGAAAGTTCTCCATTTTGCAATCACATTTTGCTGTCCTCCTGTCTCCTTACATAATAGGTTCTACCCTGCAATTTCATGTGCTAAATAAGACCTCGGAATCCATCCAAGGAATGACAGTGTTTTTATAGCCTCCCGATGACCAACACATTTCTAGTTTACAGACTGCGTTAAGGTCTCAGTGGCTCCTTCCCATTGCATTAACTTTGATATACAGTATTCCATGAACTCTAGAGTGAAAGCAGAGAGAAATCCTGAATTGCTCAAATGTTGCTTGTATAGTACCGGTCTAGAGACAAAGAACTTTTTCTGGGGACAGCTGCTCTATGTCACAGCATACACAAGGCCTGCCAGAGAACCAAATGTTCCCTCTGTAGTCTATTCATCCCATAATACACTCAGGCGCTGAGCACTGTAAGTCTGTTTTCCATATAATCTATATAATTTATTGTGCTTCAAATATCTGTTGTAATCTATGAGAATGTGCACTAAATTCATATTTTCCTCCTTACTACTTTAGGAACATATCCATCTCACAAAGCAAAGCAACCAGCTGAGCAGAAAAAGCCAAACTTTTGGTGTCAGGTAGCTGGCACCATATTTTTAAAAATCTAGTTCTAACACTTAGTGGCTCTGCCACTGGGAGCAAAGTGCTTGACTTTTTTGAACCTCTGTTTTTTTACATATAAATGGGGCTAATAATATCAACCTTGCACACAATACTATAATATCAAACTTGCACCAATTGTAATTCAATTTCAGTTACACATCTAAAAGCACTTAGCACAGGACTCAGAAGATGATGTATTGTTTAAGAAATATGTCTGCTTCCTGCTTTCTTTTTCACCTGGGCCTTATATATAACAGTTCATCCTGATATGGACCAAGATTGTTTCTTCTCTACACTCAAACTAAACACATGAAGCAGGATGTAAAGTCAGCCATCAGGAGGACAGTGGAAAATAAAGTGCCCTAAAGAGCTATTTCCCAATCTCCCTAAGCCTTGGGTTCCCATGAAGGTTAAATGATAGAGTAAATATGTATTTACTGCTTGTTGTGTTCCTGGAACACCTCAGAGAGAGGGGAATACATCTGTGAATGTAACAGAAAAATTCCCTGAAAACTTCTAACAAGCAGATGAATAAGGTTATATCAAATAGTGCTAAAGAAAGTGAAATTAGGCAGGGGGCTGCTTGGCACAAAGTGGTTACACTGAGGCTTCTGAGAACATCTGAGCAGAGATTTATTTAAAAATGACAGGAGAAACCAGCCATGAAAGAATCTGGAAAAAAAAAAATCATTCCAAGCCAAGAGAACACCAAGTGCAAAGGACCTACGGTGGGAACAAGGTTAGTAGCCAAGAGCGAGACAAGACAAGAAGGGCAACAGTTGGAGATGTTACCAGAGGGAAATGGGGCCAGGCCCACCTTGGAAAGGGTCAGAATGTTAGTTAGGTATTATGAGAGCCCCTGGAGAGCTTTAAGATGGAGAATGATTTGAGCTGTTTTACCTTTTTAAAGGATCAACTCTGGCTGCGATGTGAAAAATGAATGATTAGGAGACAAAAGAAACTAGGAAGTTTTGCAGGAACCAAGGAAAGCTAGGAGACGGAGGTTGCTGGGAAAATGTCGGAGTTTATTTGGTTAAGAGGTTAAGAGGCCCACCTCAGGTGCACACAGAGCTCTCGGTGCATAACCAGCTGCCTGTGTCTGGGGCTCAAGAGCCCAGGGCTGGAGAACAAGTTTAAGAAACCAATGAAGAGAACTGGCACTGAACTTACTACTTTTTGTGATCATCCAGGAAAGAAATGTAGGCATGGAGAAGTAGGACTAAGATCAACTGCTAAAGCACATCAACACTTACAAGTAGAAAAATTAAAAGTTACCATGGGGATAAGAGATGTAGCTTGGTGCTTGCCTACCATACACAGGGCCCTGGGTTCAATCCTTAGTACAAAAAAAACAATAATTTGAGAGGGAACCCAAGCAAGAGTGATGTCAAGGAAGTCAAAAAAAGAGAAGAGTGTATTGCTACTGAGAAGTTAAGAAAGATGAACACAGAGAAGTAAAACTTCGATTTGACAATATGGAGGACACTGTTGACCAAGACCATACGATGTCCTGTATCCAGGGAAGACACCGATAAGGACGTAGCGGTGTTTCTCCTTTTCCTTCCCACCTGTTCCATTCATCCACTAAGGATTTGCTGAGCACCTACTTGCCCCAAGCACATTCAAGCACCACAGTTACGTGGCAGGCAACACAGACAGGCCTCTGGCACATTCATATGTTTCCCCAGGGACTTTCCCTGGCAGTCAAGGAGAGAGAGTCCAGGTACACGACCCATCAGCTCCACTGCACATATGGATAAGGAATGAAAGCACAGTGGAGAAATTTTCTCAAAAGACCTCATGAAACACCAAAATCCTGGAGCCCTATTCTACTTCACATACATTAACTGTACCACATCCCCTTTGGGGCACAGAGAAAGTCAGCTCGCATTTCTTTTCAGAATGAATCCTTTCCAGTTCTACCAGCACACTGAACCCAGCCCACTTTCATGAGGAATATCACTGTGCTGCCCACTATTAATCAAGCTGGTCCTGAAGTCTTTTGTCATCTTTTTATGTATTTCCTAAATAAAATGTTTAGCCATGATGTTGTTAAGTAGCCATTCCCAAAACTGTATGCAACAACCAAAAGGGAAGTAGGAGAAGAAAAACCTTTAATAACTGGATGGAAGGTGGAGACGTTCCCACTGAGACTTCCCCCGGACTGTGAAATCACCCAGCCCCCAACACGCTGTCACTGTGTCCCCTCTAGCTAGAGAATGACAGCATCAGTGGTGCCCAGCCAAACACCCTGACACATCGTTCACATCCCTCTGACAGTACACACAGCAAGTCCTCGGCAACAGCTTCTTTGGATGGGCCACCCAAAGTGCCTGAAAGCTGCTTCTCCTCCACAGTGAGTGAGAAGAGATGAGGCAGACTAAAAACAGGACACCTGCTTAGCCACAGCGGCCCCCACTCCTGGAAAACAAGGACATCCTAGGGTACCTGGGCTGCTACACAGACTGCAGGAATTCTCCATCTTTACATCACAAGTATTGTTTATTTGGGTTTGGGTCCCTTTCCCCCAAATTCTCCCAGCAAAATTTGTCTAATTATTAGCAAGACAGGTATATCTTTTTAAATGACCATCTGAACCAACCTGCTTTCTCCTCTAGCAGTCAGCAGGAAGAAAGGAACTCATCTAGTCTCTACCCAGACCCCAAATCCATTCCTAAAATTACCCTTCCACACACCCTGCATTTGCTGAAAACAAAAAAGGGAAGAAGCATGCTTCTACGCAGCTCCCAGGGTTGTTCACAACACCAGCATGAGGCGAAGTCCAGAACAGATTTGGAAGCTTCTCACCCACATCACCAGGATAAAAGTCACACCAGTCAGCAAAATCCACTCAGGACCAAGCCTGCCTTCCTTCCCCAGGGCCTGGAGGTAGGAGTTACATTCCTTCTACAGCCATCCCACCACAGCAGGGTTTTTCTTAGTCTCCCTTATCCTAGGACACCAAAATGATTTACTTGTAACACATGTTCAATCTGCTGCCGAGCAGACGGACTCACTACACCAGCCAGTCCTAATCACTGAGCAAGCTTGTGAGGGTGACTTAAGCCCGGCACGAGAAGCATTTGTGCAAAACTGTCAGCCACTGGGCTCTGAGCACCCATGGACATTCCAGCCCTCTGAGTCCCCTCCCCCGAGCCCGCGCCGACTGCCACCAGTGCTCACCAGTTAGTCCACACCGTGCGAGCAGCTGCCACTCAGCCAGAGGCTGGCCGCCAGCACACCAGCTTCAAGAGCGCAAGGCTGCTGCTCACAGTGATCTAAAGGTTGAAGGTCCTGCAGTGTGCTCGCCTCTAGAGTTGCCTCACTTGCCCTCCCAACCCCCTCCGCCATGCCTCCCATTCTGCCTTCTCCTCCTCTGGTAGCATTTCCCTTGTCTCTATGGTAACAGCATCTGGTTTCAGGGCAAGAACTTTATACAGCTCAGCTCCCTCCTAGTCTGTGGCTGTTGCCAAAGGAAGCACTGGCAAAACAGCTGCTCCCTACGGTAGAGTCACCTGTCTCCTTGTCACTCCAGGGCTGCAGCTACGCTGTGCGCTGCGGAGTCACAGTGCCTGCAGCAGTGCGTTCCAGGAAGTGGGGCACCCTCCGCACGCTGCTTATTACACAAAAGCCTCGGCTGCATCGTATAA